CCAAGGGAATGCCTTGCAATTAGCTTGGAAAGGGTTTTGTTTTGTTGCGTAGCCATTTCCTGTTTACTGCTTATTTACAGCTATATTCTAAACCTTACTTTAGGAGAATATCCCCAATGAAAATGGGTATTTATTTAATTTTCTATCCAGGCAGTGAATCATGTATGTGTTCATACTTCAGATGAAGTGAAGTACTTGAACTGGCATTGAGTAAGGGCCGTGTACTCTAGGCAGTCTGTAAGTAGCTCTGTATATGCTGTCTCAGGCCTTTGTAACCTTTTGTAACCTTTTCATAGACAAGAAAACAGCACTGGAGGGGTCAAATCTGAGTAATATAGCTAGCAGGCGTCAAGAGTGAGATCTAGACATGGGCTTCGCTGCCTTTTAAGACAGTCACCAGTCATTCATAGCATTATTCTATGAGGTTCTCAGAAGTCTACAATAAAAGGACTCCTGTGATCTTGATGTAAAAAAGCTTAAGGCCAGCAGGTAGTAAAAGATGGTATGGATGGAGAGCAGGTACAAGTAATCTTTGCTAGCGTGCAGAAATAGTAGAAAATGGGCCATGAGGAGGATTCCTTTGAGCCAAGCAGAAATGTCCGTTAGAATATGTAGGAGAGTATCTCAGCATCATAGGGCTTGAGTAAATGTGAGCCTGAGGGGAGAGGAGTAGCAGTGACTTTATCAGAAGCGAGTTGTCTGACAGCTCTAATCAGACTCACCCCTTTATTATAACTGAGGTCATCTGCGTGCTTTCTCTGATGTGCGTTTCCAGAAGAGATTGATTCCAGACAAGTGAAACATACCTGAAGATTCTGGCATGAATATTAGAAATGGCCTGATGAGAGAGTGTGACCTGCAGATTTTACAACACGGTGGTGGTGGTAATGTTAGAAGTATTTAACAGTCTACATCCTCCTTCTCTTTTTACGGTAGCAGGAATCAAACTCACGACCTTGCGCTCGCCAGGCAGGCGCTATGCCGCTGAGCTAAATCCCCAGCCCCTACATCCTCCTTCTCTAGCAGCACTGCTCGTATTTCTAACTACTTTTAGAGGAGGAGGAAAGTGAAAACTTGCCCTCAGGAATCTTCAGGCATAATGTGATGTGTATAAAAGGGTACTTCTTTTTTTTAGTCTCCTGTTTCATATTTAGGAAAAACTTTCGTTTATTTCCATATCTGCCTTAGTTGCAAAATAAATTACTGGTTATCTCCTGACCCCTACCCCAGCCCTCAGGGGCAGCCCACAGTCTGAGAAGATGGTGTTTGTTTGGCTTCCAGGGTTTGAGCTGCCTCACCAGCACCCCCTGGGGCTGCAGATGACATGAGGGTTACAACACTCCTCATGACTTTTCTCCACCTGATGAGTCCCCCTTGTTCCCTTCTGCCTTCTCAAATACGAATTCCTGATTTACCAAACTCCCACAGTTTCTTTCATTTGATTGGCACAACTGTAAACGGGCTTGGTCTCTTGATGTATGTCAGCAGTTTTATTTTTGGAATTTCCTTTTTTGTCTTACTAGGAGAATGTTACCGGATACATCTATCTGATTCTAGCAGGAACTTATTTTTTTCTCAAGGTGCTGCTTACTAGTCCTTTGAAGGGGCAGTAACTATACGGTATGTGATATTAAAAATGATGGGCTTAGCCTGGGTATTGCTTCTTTCCATCCTCTTCTGGGGGTGGGGACGGAAGTAAATTATTATTTGTGTCTCTTGAATAGAAGAAAACAAGCTCAGGCCAGCATATGAGAAAACTGACTTCAGGTCACAAGCGAGTGCCGGCTTAGAGCTGTCACGCAGATTGTATTTTCTAGTCATCTGGGGATTTACCATTTTTGTCACAGTCTCGAGAAGAGTGTAGTGCTTTTGAGTAAGCCAACAGCAGCAAAGGCTCCTCTGTAAGGTATTTTTGTTCCCAAATCTCATGTGAAAGGGTTGTTGCTGATTTATTGATACTAAAGATTTGTCCAGGTTAAGCCCAAGAAGGCCTTTGTTTGGGCATTATTTGTGCCTAATTTGATTTCTCCTCCTGAAACCCATTTCGACCTCTGTTTTAATCTTCCTCGATGCCATGTTTTTCCATTGTCCTGCTACAAAACCTTTCTTCAGTTGGTATTCTGCCTTTTGAATGACATCTACCACAAAAATACCTTTTTACCTGGGTCTTGCAGATTTTGAAATCTTTCTTTTTAGCTGACCTATCATTGTGTCCTATCAGTTCTGCCCAGTAGGCAGCAACAGGTTTGCTGAATAAAGAAACAAGACCTGGGTGGTCCTGACTTCAGCTTGTGCCCAATCACGTCTCTCAGCTTTTGGCCCGCTGCACCCTTTTGCTTCAATGCCTGTGAGTGTCCAAGAACATTTTCTGAGAGTCTTCATTCTCTCAAAAGTGGGAAAAATTTATTACATAGATTGAGTTGTCTGCAAAGAAGATAGCCCTAAACTATTTGAAATTTGAATTTTAAGTCTTAAATTCAAGAAAGAAACAGGTTTGAATTTCCAAATAGGGCTGATTCCTGCTTTAGACATTTTAAAGGGGTTTGTTTCCTGAGAACAAAGCTGACTGAATTATAGAAGAGGCAGCAGCTAAAGTTTTTTTTCCTACTTATTTTTACTGATAGTATTTTACTTTTTGAAATATCCTAAGGTCATGTCTAAAAAAATTATACCTTGTGGTTCCTAGTAGGAATTTCATTGTTAGTGAAGTTTCTTCAAGGTAGTTATGGGTTGAAAGAGAGCTCCGTAGTACAGCATGTGTGCTCAGTGTGGCCAAGGACCTGGGTTCAGTTCCCATCACCAAAAACAAACCCGAGAGTACATTTTGGTGCAGTAAACTTATGGAACTTAAAGTGTCAAAAAAAATTTTTTTTGCTGGAATTTAATTATCTTAATTAGGAGTTCTTGTTGGCAGCAAATGGGCATGACCCTTTAATTATCCCAGAAAATTGCTGGACAAGGAGTCCTCGAGGAGAAATGAATTGAATGATGTGGAAGGCTTTACTACAGTCTGAGAACTGTGCTGCAGTGATGAGGTATGCCCACAAGGTGGCGCCAAGAGTTTGCTTAACTGCTGCGTCCCCAGCTGGCACCTGGAGCCCTTGCAGCCCAGTTCAGACTCCCCCTTTGTGAACTCTCACTCCTTGTTGCTGTCGTCTCAGTTCTGGTCCCCACCTTCCAAGGACCCCTTTTGTGCTGTTATCTGTGCTGTGTATTGTCTACCTGCAGTCTGCCTACAGGGAAGCTGTGGGTATTGGCTCCCTCTAAATGGTAGGGTCTCAAGAGCAGGTAGATTACACTCCTTTCTGCATTTTCAGCTGGGCCAGGGCCTCTGAGTTGCATTGCTGGGTTAGCTTCTGTGGATGATCTGCGGGCTGCTTGTGCACCTCCATATGGCTCACCTTCAGTGTATGTTCTCTTTAATGAGTAGGCATATGTTTCTAGCTGCATATATGACTTTTGGAGTTTTGAGTATTTGAATATATTGTGCCTGTAGTTTGTCTAGTTTCATAAACCTCCTCCTGCATGAAAGCAGTTAGTTCAGAGAGTTGGTTTAGAGAAACCCTTCCTGGCTGGGTCTTCCTTTCAGCCCCGCAGTTGCTCAGGGCAGTGGAAGCTGTCATGAGACAGACAGCAGATGGCCGTGGAGTTCCCAGGAATCATGCCACAGAGGTAGGAGTTTGAGGACAGCAGAAAGAATCTGCTTTGTAGTTCTCATTTCTCTGCCTCCTTTGGGTTCCCAACAGGAAATCCTGCAGCTGGCAGGGCTGTGTGATCAGGAAAGGAAACCTGCTCTTACCAGGGAGGGGCATGGGAGGGGCAGAAGTACGATGAGCATAGTTTAGTTGGATTATGTCATTTTATTGGGGACCATTAAATAAATGGATGTTCAGTTTTTCTTTTTTAGACAGCAGATAAGGGCTTCAAGCCTTTCAGCTTCCTACTGAAAGGAATTTGAAAAGGTTTCATAATAATGTTATCTCATTAATACAGGCAGCCTCTATAGGCAGCTAGACATCTCAGCCAGACCCTGGCTCTGGATTCTTCATTGTGGATGCCTTTCCAGAGTGTTTAGTTTGACAACATATTCAGAAGTTCTGTGTTTGATAGCCCAAAAGTATGCAAAACTCTGAGCAAAAGCATTTGCATTTACTTAATTTAAAAAATGAGCCACAGTCCAGGTGATACCAGAGATAGTGTTGATGTGGTGTCTGACTTCTCCCAAAGCTGTTTGTTTAGATCCCTGGTGAGTTCTATAAACCAGGACCATGTTTTTATTTCTAGAGTGGGGAGTACCCAAGCTAGCAGTTTTGACCTTTCAGTGTTTATAGAAACAGAGATTCTGATTATGAGATGAAAACAAAATGACAATGTTTCTTGTCCATTAAAACCAGGACTCACTCATGGTAACCCTTTGTCCTTTGTCATACAAACAGAGCAGAGACTGTCACTGTTGCTCTTTGGGGTGGTGTTATTTTAAAGAATGTGATCAAAATTGACCTGTTAGATACTCATCTTCTCTGTGAGTCTTTATTTTCAGTTATTACCTTTGGCAGTTGAGTTTTAATTCATTGGCATATGGTAAAGTAGCTTATAAGAGCTTCTTTATTTTTTTTATTTTTATTTTTATTTTCTTTTATTTTTTTTGTCTTTTTTGAGACAGGGTCTCGCTATGCAGTGCAGGCTGGCCTTGAGCTCACTTTGTAGCCCAGGCTGGTCTTGAACTCGAAATGATCCTCCTGCCTCAGCCTCCCAAGTGCTGGGATTATAGGCGTGTGCCACCACACCTGGCAGTATAAGAGTGTCTTTAGAAATACAGCTAGTAAAGGGCCGGGGATATACCTCAGTTGCATAAGCACCTGCCTGGCAAGCGTAAGGTCCTGAGTTTGATTCCCGGTACCAAAAAAAAAGTAAGAAATATAGCTAGTAAATTTTTTGAGGGAAAGTTTGGGAACTGCTTGTATAAATCAGCACTGCTAATGTGACTGCTTTGTTTCTAGGTGATTGGTGAGGACAATGTAGCGGTCCCCTCACACCTTTATAAGGTGATCCTGGCTCGCAGAAGCCCAGAGTCTACTGAACCACTGGCACTGGGAGCCTTTGTGGTGCCCAATGAAGCCATTGGCTTCCAGCCTCAGTTAACGGAATTCCAAGTGAGCCTCCAAGACCTTGAGAAGTTATCAGGCCTGGTATTTTTCCCTCAGTTGGATAGAGCTAGCAATATCAGGAATATCTGTGCGGTGGACACCTGTAAACTCCTGGATTTCCAGAAATTTACTCTGTACCTGAACACAAGGAGGATTGAAGGAGCCCGTTCATTGCAGAGGTTGGAAAAAGTTATGGAAAATTTGAAGAACGCAGGGATTGAACCAGACGATTACTTCCTAAGTTGCTATGAGAAGAAACTAGAAGAACTCAAAGCTAATGAACAGTCTAGAACCCAGACGAGAAAGCCATCTTAGCTACCTCAGAAGATAAATGCTGGTCTGCTGTAAGGAAGCAGGCGCGCCCTCTGCGAGCTCATGTGTTTTAGTGGCTTTGCTTTAAAGAAATGATGGAATCCTAAATTTGAGACTAAAATTCCCTCTGAACAATGAATGATCTACAATTATTTTGTCGTCATTATTATTATTATTATTATTATTATTTTATCATGGGGCCTAATTAGTAAGGAAGCAGTCAGTCTGCAGATGGAGAGCTGAACTTGTGTCAAGTTAACAAGAGGACTGTGTCACCAAGATGGTGCTGCAGTTATGTCCCTCTGGATGAATAGTATGAAGAAAGGCACTGCTTATTCGTACGCCTCCAGATCATACAGTGTCTTCGATCTGTCTGTTTGCTCACCTTCTTGGAACTTGTTCTTGGATGTTTTCTTTCCTTAGGAGCTGATTAGCTTTTAGAAATCTTCCATTAGCCTGCCTAAGAACAATATACAGTACAATTTATTTATTTCTTCTCTTGAACCTGCAGAAGCACCCAATAGCTGTGTTTTCTGCTCAGTGTGTTTTTCCACACTAAACTCAGTGCTTTACTTGTATTGTCCTGTAATTTCCCCTCTGTGGTACATACACTAGTCCCACTTTACCTGTGAGGAGACTGAGGTTCAGAGAGCTCTGAATCTTGCCTGTGGAGTTCTCCTTTCCAAGGAAGTCACTTGCAAAGTGTGGGGCATACAGGGCTAAGAGAAGCAAGATAGAAAGAAAGTTCAAATTTTCCCTGACAGAGAATTGTGGGCTCAAATACCTGCCACTTACTTCTGTGGGTGTCTGTGGGCCTCAGGTAAGAAGAGTGGTTTTGTTTGCTACATGAGCTAAAGGGACTTTAATGTCTTCCGACTTGAACCTTGCTTAGCTCTTGGAAAGAAGCAGTCAGAGCAAGTGTGTGAAAGTTCAAGGATGATGCTTTATGGGGTTTTTGAGAGTCCCTGCCTGGCTCTGGGGGGACTTGGCGATCGTATGGTATCAGCGTCTGTGTCCTTGCTCCCTCTGTGCCTGTGGTCCACCTGGGTGGCATAGAGCAGGGGGAGCCTGGGCCCAATGCTCTAAGGACTATTAGCATCATGGGGGAAAGGGTGGCTGTGTTTCTGAAGCGGATCTCTAAAGTTGGGTTTACCCGAGTCCTTTTGTGTGGTAGTGTAACAGTGCCAGTAAAATACCTGGGGGACACAAACTGGAAGTGTGTCATACCACTGCTGTCTTTCCAAGTGGTACCACAAGAAAATTTTTTTTGTGCTGTCTTTGTGTTATCTGTCATAGAGACATCAAGTCTTTAAGGTAGTGATGAGAAGATAATGATTTACTTCTCTCCTGTTTTGAGTAAAAAGGAAAAGTTGGGAGGTAGAACATGGTACTTATTAATAACCGTTCTGTTTTGTTACGCTGTTCCTCATTGTACCGGTCCTTCTCACAGATATAGAGCCAGAATGTCACTGTGACCAGTCTGTTCCGTTTTCCTCACTGGAGAGGTGATGGGAGAGCCTGAGCTTTCTCTAGGAGCCTGAGGGCACAGCTCCAGGGGATGAGTCCTAGACACCTGCTGTGCATCTCTGCAGCCACCCTGGCGCTGGCCCTGTCCCCGTAGCCGGCTCTGTCTGCCGCAGCCACGAGTGACTGCCCGAGCTCTTCTCAGGCCTGCCTCTCCTCTGGGATGGTAGAGATGCGTAAGTTAAAATGTCTTAGAGTTTTACTTCTTATGAAAGATACTACCTGGCCATTGTAAAGGCTTAAATTTTATATGCAGCATTTTGTTGATCTGTAACAGTGATGGTTGAGTTATTACCTGAACATTTTTATTACAAGTTTACCTTGCCCCTGCCCAAGCAAACTTTCTGTGTAATATTGCGTGGAGCTTAGAATTCTCCTCTGGATCAGTTCACGTAGCCCCTCAACCCTGTTGTGGCTGTCAGTGGCAGCGGATCTCTGTGCCTCTCCCCAGCAGTACATGTGTTCTTCTGATGTAGAAACACATCAGTAGCTGCCAGACCATCAAGGCAGGTGGAGGGACTTCTGGTCTCGGCCCTACTGCCCAGTCCCAGCTGAGAGCGAGGGCTGCCGGCCTGGACGGCTCTGGGAAGCCTCTGGTGAGGGCTTCCTCCCTAGTGTTTCTCCTCCCAGAGATAAACTGTGGTTTCTGGGTTGAAGCTGTTTGATCAAATTTGTATATAGCAAGAGTGGACCTGAAACAGGTGGCAAAGGTTAGGTGGATGAGAACTTAGCCCCTAAATACCCGCCAACATTACACCCTTGTACCTTTGAGCAACCGAAGACTTCTTCCTTTAGGCCTTTGATTAGAGCACAGCAGGACAGGCAGCCTGATCCGGAGGGATTGGCGTCCTGCAGAGCCAGGCATGGCTTGCAGCCTGCACTGGGAGCTGAGTGTTGCCATGCCCCTTGGCCTTTCCTTGTATGTGTCATTGATGTCAGCTCTGTGGATCATAGACTTCCCATCCACAGCTGCCTCTGTGTGTGTCTCTGGCCTGGAGCCTGCCCTCTGTGCCTGCTCCACCCTGCTGTCTTGACTGTGTGCCCTTCCTGCTCGGCCCTGCAGCACACCTCTACCTGCTGCCCAGGTCCTGCTGGTTGAGTTGATCAGGGCTGGTCTCTATCTGGCCTGCTTTCTTCAGTGTCATCATCTAGGGTTGTCTGTCGGGGATCTAGTGGTCCTTTTGCTATTTTAGTCCCACCCTTGAGAGCAAAGCAGGAGGAACTGCCTTTTTTTTTTTTTTTATGCTGGGGATTGTACTTGGGTGTCCGTGAACTGAGTTAACATCTTCAAACTTTTATATTTTTCGTTCTGAGACAAGATGCTATTAAGTTGCCCAAGTGGAACTTGAACTTGTGATCCTCCTGCCTCAGCCTCTTGTGTATGGGGCCTACAGGCATGGGTCATTGCTTCTGGCTAGGAGCTCTTTGCTGTGGGCTTCATGTAATTCTGGACAGTGGGATGTGTTAGTGGACCATCTTCTCTTGAGGTCCTGAACTTGCCAATGTGAGTGGGAGGCTGATGTGCCCGAATGCACAGAGTACCTCTAGGGGTCGCTGTGGCCTAGTGTCACATCAGAAGATACAGCCTTAGCTGTGGCAGGGCCTCCGAGTAGAATGGCAGCTTTTAATCCTCAAAGAACACGGATCTTTGACACCAGGCTCTTGGTGGAGAAGCAGAGGTTGTTCCCATCCAGTCAGCCTCGTGTTTGGCTCACACTAAAAGTCTAGTAGCTTGAACCACCCCCATGGTACCCTGCCCCCCCAATATTTACTTTCTTTTGCTCATTTGTTTTCTTTTTCTTGGCCATTTAAAACCGGGAATTGAACTCATGACCTTGCTCTTGTCAGGCAGGCACTATGCCGCTGAGCTATATCCTCAGCCAAGTAATTTGTTGTTAAAAAACAATCTATTAAAATTTCTCAAGGTGTTCCAAAACACCTCTTACACATTTTTTAAATTCAAGTTTAAGTGAAATAAATCAGATGCACAAGCTTAAATATTAGAGTTTCTCTTATGTGAGAAACCTGAAGTATAAATAAAGAGCAAAATAAAAGAAGGGGACCAAGGGATGGAGGAGGGGAAGGCAGAGAAGGGCTAGGGCGTGAAAAAAGAATTAAGATGTGTACGTGTACCAATTCCCCATGATGAATGTAATCATTATTACAAACATGTACTAATAAAACATTTTAAAAATTCAGGTTTTAAACAAGATGTGTACTGTTTATTTCATCTCTTAATCTAGAAGAGTCTACCTGGTTGGCTTAAAAAATACAGATTCCAACCATACTCGAGAGATTGATTCAGTAGATCTGGTCTGAGGCTAGAGTCTGTATTTTTTAAACAAGAAAATTGATGATTGTAATGTACAACCAGTGTTTCAAACCAGACTGTTCCCTACTCTGCCCCCACCCTTTTCCAAAACAGTCCTTATATGGGCCTTTCCTGTTAGACAGGGATCTTTGGGCTCCTGAGTAGTTCTACAGGAGAACTTTATTCCATCCCTTTGGGCCACAGGTACCTAGTTTCCTTAATAGTAGCCATACAGCTTGTGTCTAGATGTCCCCCTACAGCCTCGTATGGTCATAGGTGGGGCTTTTCGGAGGTGCCTGGTTCTAGAGAGTGTGGCTACTAAGTCAGTCCACTGATTGGCTTAGCATATTTCTGGGAGTGGATAATGGGAAGGCCCAGCCTGGGTGTCAGGGGCACCACCTAATGGGTGGGTAGCCTGGAAGAGATAAAAGGGAGAGGCAGACTGCTACTGCCACTTCCTCACTACTTTGCTGCCTTCTTGCCTTCTGCCCACCTTGAACTCTTTCTCCCCTGCAATGCCCCTCTGCCATGCCATCCTGCCTTGGAGCCAGCCAACTGTGAATTGAAACTTTTACTAACTGTCTATAGATAAACCTTCCCTCCTTTAACTTTGGGTGTTGGGTATTTTGCCTCAGCAATGAGAAGACAGCAGCACTTCATAAAATAAAGCAGCAGTCTCCCATGTAACCGCTGCATCAGTAGCAGCCCAACTCCATTCTAGTTTAGACAGGACTCTATCAAAGGCTGACGTCTGTCCTCTTTTGCACTACAATTCAAAGACATCAGGGTAGCTCATTTCACACTCACATGCCTGTGGGTCCCGGCCCCTTCTCTGTCATGATTTTACATTTCCTTATGATGCAGCAGTCACATCCAGGCAAAGCACTCAGAACAGGTGACAGCAGTGCTGGACTGAGGTGGGAACTGGCCTCTCTTGGGGACACTCTTCTCTCTGTACTGTTGTTCATGTAGAGCTAATCCCTGCTAACTGCCCCAGGTCTTTTCCTCATGATCTGCCGTCAGATCAGTTTCCCATGATGGGTGTACATAGTCAATTTTTGGAACACAAATGTGGGATTGTACATATGCCCAACTGTTAAGATTTCCTGTTATAGTTTCAACCCATCTTCAAACAAGTTCACATTCTTGACAATTCTGATTTGGCCATCTGACACGTTAGCTGTGCCTCTCAGCTTTGAGACTGCAGATCGGATAAACAGGGTTTCAATGTGTTAAAAACATTGAACGAGACAGAGCCAAGGAAGATCTCTGGTAAAAAATTCATTTTATTGCCAACCCCCATCACACACTCACTCAACAAGTTTCTTGTGGTAATGTGCTCTGATAATTTCAGTTAAGTTTACTTCTATTTCTTTAAAAAGAAACACAACATTATATTAATTGTAGTACAAAACAGTCGCCATGGCAGTTTACCTGTGAGTCACTCAGACAGGGAGGTGGGCACGGCACAGCAGGGAGCAGGGGGCTAGCACTGGTCTCTGAAGTAGGTAGGGCATGCGGCCTTTCTGTCTTCTCACTCTAGTGGGTTAGCTTTGACCACTTTCAGCCTCTGAATCAAGTTCTCATGTCCAGGTTGAAAATGACCTGCAGGATTGTATGAGGGTGGACAGACAATGTACGAAGTTCGGTGAACTCTTAATAAATGGTAGCCAGTTACTGTGTGGCCTGAGAATGAGAATCAAGTGACATGAAGGTCATGCTGTGCTGATAGTGGAG